TTAGGGTTTAGGGTTGAGGGTTTAGGGTTGAGGGTTTAGGGTTTAGGGTTCAGGGTTCAGGGTTTAGGGTTTAGGGTTTAGGAAGTTTGGGTTTAGGGTTTAGGGTTTTGGGCGCGGCCTTTCCGGTGGAGTCGGGTGGCTCTCGAGGGCTTCGGAGGCTTAGGGCTTAGAGGGCTTTGGGGCTCTGGGCTTTTGGGCTCTGGGGCTTTAGGGCTTTAGCGCTTCAGGGCTTTAGGGCTTAGGGGTGGGCTTAGGGCAGTTGGAGCTCTTTGGCAAGGCTCTTGGGGTTCATGGTTGTGGTTAGGGATGTTGAAGGTTCGAGTTTCGGGGGTTTTGGGGTTGAGGGTTTAAGGTGTAGGGTTTAGGGGTTAGGGGTTTAGGGTTTGGGGCTCCAGTAGGTTTTGGGGTTGAAGGTTTTGGTTTTTTGCAGCAGGCTTGAGGGGGCGTGGGGTCGTGGGGTTTGGGGATGTGCAGGATTTGATTTGGGGCCCCTGACATGGGTGCGAGACTCCCCCGAACCCTAAATCCTAAATCCTAAGCCCGAAACTCAAAACCCTAAACGCTAAACCCTAAACCCTAAACCCTCAACCCTCAACCCTCAACCCTCAACCCTCAACCCTCAACCCTCAACCCTCAACCCTCAACCCTCAACCCTCAACCCTAAACCCTAAACCCTAAACCCTAAACCCTAAAGCCTAAAGCCTAAAGCCTTCATGCCAGGTCCCGCCAGTGTCGCCATCTCTTCGGGACTAGCCTGAGAGCCCCGGTGTCAACGCAGCCTTTGCCCTCCCCAGAAGGAGCGCGCAAAAAGGTGTGACACTAAAGCCAAAACAGTCTCTAAACCCTTAACACTTAAACCCTAAGCCCTGAACAGTCCCTCAACCCTCAACCGTTCAACCCCAAGCCTTAAGCCCTAAGCCCTAAGCCCTAAGCCCTAAGCCCGAAGCCCTAAACCCTAAGCCCTAAGCCCTAAGCCCTAAGCCCTAAGCCCTAAGCCCTAAGCCCTAATCCCTAAACCCTAAGCCCTACAGACCCCAAGGTTTAGGGTTTATGGAGATACCGATCGAAAGATGGCCGCTCGTGTTTGGTTACCCCCGGGCTCGCCGCGGCTGCTGTGGATCAGGACCGGTGGGTAGAAAAGCGAACCCGCAAGCGTCCCTGCAACCAGCACATTGGGAAGCCCCCCAAGCCCCGGCAGACCCCCACACGCGAGACTTGAGAGAGTTCTGAGCCAGCTCCCGACGTCTAGTTGGGACGTCTGCGCCTCGGTGTGGGTGTCGCCATGTCGGGTAGGGCCTTTATTGTGGTGTAGTGCTTGTCTAGGTTTCGTTCTAACTGCTGGTGATTGGGTGTCCTTTCTGGGATACTGATGTTGCAAAGATCCATGAATAAACGCGAGCCACTCCTGCTCTTCTTGCCTTTCGTGATAAACGATCAAAGGTTTGTTTGGTTTGGAAGCCTCACGGGATCCCTAATCCTTCTCACAGCCCTAACTGCCTGCAGCGTGAGAACTCTGGATTTGGACCTCTGTAATCCAAGCCCCGTAATACATCAAAACCCCCCCCCCCCCCCCCAAAAAAAAAAAGAACAAGAAAAACTTCAAACAGTTCGCCCCCCTCCCCCCGCCACCCATTCTGTTAGAAGTCGACCTATAGGACCCCAAACCCTAAACCCTAAACCCTAAACCCTCCTAAACCCTAAACCCTAAACCCCAAGCCCCAAGCCCCAAACCCTGAGCCGAGGTCCACTCCATGGCTTCGGTTTGAGTGCCCAGTCGATCAAAGCGAACACCGCGAGGAGCCGGAGCGTTGAAAGGATCCGAGGTTCTGGAGGTTTCAGGGATTAAGGGTTTTAGGGTTGTTGTTGGGGTTTAGGCTTTTTTGGGGGTTTAGGGTTTTTTGGGGTTTAGGGTCTTTTGGGGGTTTAAGGTTTTTTTTTTTTTTTTTTCGGGGGGGGGGGGGGGGTTAAGGTCTTTTTTAGTGTTTCAGGGGTTTAGGGTTTTAGCTTTTAGCGTTGAAAGGATTTAGGGTTCAGGGGTTTTTGGGGGTGTTAGTTGGTAGGGTCTAGGGTTTAGGGTTTAGGGTTTAGGGTTTAGGTTTTAGGGTTTAGGGTTTCGGGTTTATGGTTTTGGGTTCAGGGTTCAGGTTTTAGAGTAGAGTAGAGTGCCTTGGCCTGGGTGCTTTGAGGCGGTTAGGCCTCGGGGTCTGTGTGGCTTCAGCTAGAGGTGATCTGGCTTGCCTTCATACCTCAGCCCCAGCAGACTGAAATCGTGAACAGGTCCCTAAAGCCTCACGGCCTACAGGGTTCAGGGTTTAGGGTGTAGGGTTTCCCAAACCCTAAACCCTAAACCCTAAACCCTGAACCCTAAACCCTAAACCCTAAACCCTGAACCCTGAACCCTGAACCCAGAACCCTAGACCCGATAAAGCCCTAAACCGCAAGGGTTTCCGCACAAGCTGAGCCTCATCCGATGGAGGCCTGTCCGGATTCGAGAAACATGCGGGGGCCCCGAGAGAGGCGCTGCCTTCCAAGGCATGCGAGGAACTTGGGTTGAGGGTTGTTATAGGGTTTAGTGTTTGGGGTTTAGGGTTTAGGGTTTAGGGTTTAGGGTTTAGGGTTTAGGGTTTAGGGTTTAGGGTTTAGGGTTTAGGGTTTCATGTAAGGGCCTATCCTTTATTAGACTCTGTATTTTGGGTAGAGCGGAGAGAAGGTCTGTTCGCCGAAGGTGGAACGAGAGTGGTTTGTACGCTCAATAAATGATGCTAACCCTAAACCCTAAACCCTGAACCCTACACCCTACACCCCTACACCCCTACACCCCTACACCCTAAACCCTAAACCCTAAACCCTAAACCCTAAACCCTAAACCCTAAACCCTAAACCCTAAACCCTAAACCCCAAACCCTAAACCCTAAACCCTGCACCCTAAACCCTAAACCCTAAACCCTAAACGCTAAACCCTAAACCCTAAACCCTATACCCTATACCCTATACCCTAAACCCTAAACCTTTCGACTTGGCATGCCGGGTCAAGGCCTTAGCTGTGCGGTGGCATGCAGTCGCTGAAGAATGGTTTATTGGGGCCGAATAGTCCCGAAAACCCTAACCCTTCAAACGCCGTACACCCTAAACCCCAAACCTCTAAACCCTAAAACCTAAACCCTAAACTCTAACCCCCCTAACCCTAACACCTACACCCGAAAACCTGCTAAGTTCTAGCCAAACAAAGCACAAAACTCCTCAGGAGACTCTTCTTGTCCCTCTAGGGGTACGGTAAAAACTCGGGTGCCCCACTCCATTGCACCAATGGAGGGGACCCTAACTCCTGGAGGCCCAAGAGCCCTAAACCCTGAGACCTAAACCCTGAGCCCTAAACCCTAAACCCTAAACCCTAAACCCTAAACCCTAAACCCTAAACCCTAAACCCTAAACCCTAAACCCTAAACCCTAAACCCTTAAGCCCCTAAAGACCCTCAAACCCTGTGTAGGGTTTAGAGTGCAGGGTTTGGGGGTTGAGGGGCCTTCGGGCAACCAGTTGTGTCACCTTTCGAACAAAATCCTATTTCGTGAGTGTGAACCCCCTTAAATGCAAAAACCTAAGTTTGCCATGGTCATAAGGGGAGTTCCCACCCACCCGCCGCCCCCGCCCAAAAAAATAAAAATGAAAAACAACAACTCTAACAAAAAACTGCAAAAGACATCTCTCCATATGGTCATTTTCCCCAAACATGCCCCTAAGCTAGTAGAATGTTGAAGAACGCCCCAAAAGGGGTACGTACCCCTGTTTTGCGACACCCTAAACCCTAAACCCTAAACCCTAAACCCTAAACCCTAAACCCGAAACCCGAACCCCAAACCCTGAACCCATCTCCCTGAACCCATCTGAACCCTAAACCCTAAACCAAACCACCATAGAGTCACCCTAGTCGCCCGGACTAAGGCCGAAAAAGGACCGGCCGACACCACTCCCCGACGCTCTCTTCTCCCAGGAGGACGACCCAACTTTAGGAGCTAGGGTTCGGGGTTCAGGGTTTAGGGTTTAGGGTTGAGGGTTGAGGGTTTAGGGTTGAGGGTTAGGGTTTAGGGTTGAGGTTTGAGGGTTGAGGGTTTAGGGTTTAGGGGCCCTAACATCCTCAGCCGTTAAGCTCGGTGCGGCATCTGCGCAGGACATCCCTGTTCACAATACTTTCATCCAGTTCGATGCGCCTGGCAGCTGGGGCCCTCAGAAGCCTTGTGATGAGGACCAGGTTTCATCTGAGACTTGTGCCCCCCCTCCCCCGCCAATACCCCCTAAAAACCCCCAAAATACCCCCAAAATACCCCCCAAAATACCCCCAAAATACCCCCAAAATACCCCCAAAATACCCCCAAAAAAACCCCAAAAAAACCCCAAAATACCCCCAAATACGCGGTTAAATACCCCCTATGTACCCCCCATGTATCCCTTATATATCCCCAATATATCCCCCATATACTCCCTATATACCTCCTCTACATACCTGTATATAGCCCTAACGTACGCTGTGGCGTTGTTCCAATGCGTTCACCTCCGGCAGTCCCTTCCGGACACATCTGGAGACAAGACTTTGGCCACATGCTTCCTTGTTCCTGGCTTGTCAGCATCAGAGTCTTAGTAGAGTGATTTGCGCACTTCACTTCCATAAAATCCAGACTTTGTGGTGGGCTGCGCGGCCCCAGCGCCCGCGGCGGGGCACGATGCATCCACTGGTCAAGCTCGTTCTGCTGAGCTGCGGCGCGGATGCGCACCGCATCCGGAGCCACTCCGCACCAGCAGAGCCCCTGGACCTCACAGCGGCGGCGACGCTGCGCGAGATCGCGGGTGTGCATCTTGCGGACGAGCTCGGCTGGACAGGCAGGGACATGTGGATGCCCGGGTAGGGGACCCTTGATATCAGGTGTTAGGGTTTAGGGCTTAGGGTTTAGGGGGAACAATCATTGCAACTCAACAGAAGCGACGAGAGATTGTCGATGCAGGCTTCATGTGGTACCAGACCGTTCACGGTGGCTCGAAGCTTTGGATCACCGTCGACCGCCACGGCAACCAGTCTCTTTTCGAGCAGTCTCGGAAGCAGCTCTGGTCCGAGAATCCGAAGAAGCCCCACATGCCCGTTTGGTTCACGGACTGGTCCAGCTATCATCGCCTTCGGGTCCAGTTCAGAGGTGAGAGTGGAATAGACCAAGGTGGACTGGCCCGCGAGTGGCTGCAGCTAGTGCTGCAGTCCATCGTCCTCCCAGAGACGCGGCAACGACAAGGCCTGAGATGTGTGACGCTTGGGGAGTGCAGTGAGGCTCCAAGTCCTCAGTACCTGCTGCAGGCCCTTCCCACCGGCAACGTGATTCCAATCATGGGGTGGAAGCACGAGCAGTCCACCTGGGACCTAAACCACACAAACCTGCTCAGGCTTTGGACGAGAACTGCCCATGACATGGCCTCAGATATCAAGGCCGAGGTTGACCAGAAAGGCTACTTGCAAACCGGGGTCTCAAAACTCTATGGCTTGACCAAGGATGAGTTGACCCAGACAGCGGAAGAAGGCTTGCTGAATCTCTGGACGTCCCGTGCAGGCGCCGTGATCTCTCACGCGAAGCGTGAGGCGGGGAGGGAGGCCCTGCTGAGCTACTGGCTGTCCAGTGCTTACGACGTGGTCATGGGCATCAATCGTGATACACGGACGCTTCCCCAAGAGGCCCTGAAGCGCTATAACTTCCTAGGCCAGTGGCTTGCCAGAGCCTACGTGATCAGCAAGGAGGGCTTCTCGCCAGTGGGGTTCCACCCCCTCATCTACGAGAGCATCTATCATGGTCGGGTCCAGCCTCCCGAGTTCCTCCCCTGGCCGCGCCACTACAAGTGGGATGACACCATCCAGGAGTGCGAGTGGCTGGCGACCGTGTTCGGGAGGAGAAGCCCTCAGGAGCTCGAGTCGTACGGCTGGACAAGCTGCGATGAGTTGAAGGACCCGGCGACAGGGAAGTACGTGGACGAGAATTGCTTCAAGCCCCTCTACCGCGACCGAAGCATGTGGGAAGACGTGCTCTTCACCGAGTGGGGTGCTTTCGTACCCTTGGGGGTGAATGAAACCGACTTGGTGCCCTTTGACCAGGCCAAGGAGTACACGCGGCTTCTGTGCCAGCACACCTGGGAGAAGGGCTTCGTGGATCCTGTCCGGGAGATCGTCGACGGATTTCGGGCCACAATTTCCAGCCGAAGCTTCTGGAGCAAGCTCAACTCCGCGGACGACCTGAAGGATCTTGTTGAAGGCTCGCCAGAGAACCCTAAACCCTAAACCCTAAGCCCTAAGCCCTAAACCTAGAACCCTAAACCCTAAAACCCTGCCCTAAACCCTAAAGTTGAAGGCTCGCCAGAGATCAACCTTCCGAGCCTCTTGGATGCTCTTGGCTACGCGGGGTTCACCGAAGCGGAGAAGCAGACGATGATCCAGACTCTCGAGGAGCTTTCGGGGCATCTGGAGACCACTACACACGTGGGTTTAGGGTTTAGGGTTTAGGGTTGAGGGTTTAGGGTTTAGGGTTTAGGGTTTAGGGTTTAGGGACGCGAAGCAATGGGGCACTACTGCAGCGGCTAGCGAGAACGGTTGGCAGGAGGGGTCCTATTTGACTTGTCGTCCCCCCCGCTTGCGCGCTTGATAGCCTGATTCATGGGTTGGCCTACTACCCCCCTCTGTACTACCCCCACCCCCCTTAGTTTCCCCCCCCTAAATATCCTTAATTAGGCTCGATTATCCCTACATAGCTTTAATTATGGGGGGAACCTAGGGGGGGGGGATGGGTAGGGGAACCCATGGCTGATAGCCGCCAGGACCTTCGACAGAAAGGGGAAGGTTTGCCGCCGATGGAAAGACCTCTTAGTCGCTTGCACGCACCACACATGGAAAGCCCTAAACCCTAACCCTAAACCCGAAACCCTAAACCCTAAACCCGAAACCCTTAAACCCTAAACCCTAAACCCCTAAACCCCAATCCTAAACCTAACCCTAAACCCTAAACCGATGACAAGTTTGGCTTCGCACTCCTTTTGTTCTCATCCGTTCGGTGCCCCAAGACCACAGAGACATCAGGATCCCACTTTTGGGGTATAAGGGCACCCTACAAGGTGGATTCTTTTTTTTTGGGGGGTCCCGAATCCCATGCTGCCGAGATAAGCTCGTGCGCTTCTTCACGGGCTCCTTCAAAGACCCCGTGGGCGGCTGGAAGCTCGGTGGGCCATTGGGACATTTTGTATGATCCCTAATCGGGTTTAAGAGGATCATGTAAACCCTAAACCCTAGACCCTAAACCCTAAACCCTAAACCCTAAACCCTAAACTCTAAACCCCTAAGCCTTAAGGGCCATCCTAGGAAAGCTGCCAGTCCGCACTTCGTCGCACGGCCCGCAGACAGATGCGAACCACTCCACGGCACCTTGGGCTTCGCTTGGCCAGCTTCTTCTTGCAAAGTGTAAGGTCTAGCTGCACCGGAAACGCGAAGTCCGAAAACCCTACACCCTATACCCTACACCCTAAACCCCAAACCCTAAACCCTAAACCCTACACCCCAAACCTAAACCCTAAACCTCAGGGCATACCTGCTACAACCAGCTGCACATGGTCAAGCCGTGCCTGCAAGATGCCGCGAAGCTGGAAGAGATGATCCTCGAATCCATCGCCTCGGAGGACGCCCCAAGGGGGGGGGGGAGGGGGGGGGGGGCACCTCAGAGCCAGGAGAACCCTCATCCCTAGGGGGTTTAGGGTTTGGGGTTTAGGGTTTGGGGTTTAGGGTTTAGGGCTTAGGGTTTAGGGTTTCGGGTTTAGGGTTTAGGGATGACGGTTTAGGCCCTTGCTGACAGCCGTCGCAACATGGTGGAAGCTTACAGTCCCCGCGACACGGCTGCTGCCCGCTTTCTAGGGCATCCTTAGGACATGAGAGGGAAGACAAGATGACCACGCCGCCTGCAACATCTCTTGAATTCGTAGTATTTCGTTCGGATGTGCGAATGCTAAAGATCAAAAAGCGGCACGCCTGGTCCTGAAACTCTGTTCTACGCACCAAGACGTTGCAATACAACAGGCGAGCCCCCCAAAAAGGAGCCTTGTGGGATTCAGCCTTCACCACCCCCCCCCCCCCACCAAGTGTACGAAGCTTGGGGAATCCTGGGGACCTTATTCGATGCAGCAAGGGCAGGGCTTCCACGTTCGCAGGAGTTCGGCTTCGCTTGATTCCTGAGACGGGCACCGGACCTGGGACGCCGCGCAGTATGATGCGGGAGCGGAGAAAACGAAGCGCGGGACTCCCTCTGGACTGGTATAGGGCTGCGTTTGCAAGCCGTTGCAAGCTCGTGGAGCGTGAAGCCTGACGCTTACACTATCTTACACTTACACCGTGGGATTTAGGGTTTAGGATGTTACGCTCAGGGTACGCGCTGTAGGGTACACAGGGTGCCGAGGGACCCGAATTCCTAGCAGCCCCGAGCTTCTCGGCCCGCCAAGGCGTTGAGGATGAGAAGTCGTTGGCTACAGCTCCCGCTTGGATAGGTGAGCGCGTGGATGTCGGAGGTTTAGGATCTAGGAAAAACTAACGCAAGCCTAAACCCTAGACCCTAGACCCTGATTCCCAAACTGTCCCCTATTGTGGTCTCAAAGCTCTGCGGAGTGTATGATCACAGATGCTTTGTCTTAAAGAACGCTGAGGATAGGGTCCGGTGCACTAAATGGAATACTCCGCATTGTAGAAGGTGCCCCAGCCCTGAAAACATAGGCCCTAAACCCTTCCTGAAACCTTAAACCTTCGACCTTCAGCCTCAAGCCTTAAACCTTCAACCGAATCCCCCAAACCGCCCATATCGCCACAGCGACCCCAGCGCCAACAAGGGCCCAGAGAGTCCCTTTCAAGGGGTCGGCTGTGACCTTTGGCGCTTTTCGCCCTCCTGCTGTTGGGTTTAGGGTTTAGGGTTTAGGGTTTAGGGTTTAGGGTTTAGGGTTTAGGGTTTAGGGTTTAGGGTTTAGGGTTTAGGGTTTAGGGTTTAGGGTTTAGGGTTTAGGGTTTAGGGTTTAGGGTTTAGGGTTTAGGGTTTGGCGTTTAGGGTTTAGGGTTTAGGGTTTAGGGTTTAGGGTTTAGGGTTTAGGGTTTAGGGTTTAGGGTTTAGGGTTTAGGGTTTAGGGTTTAGGGTTTAGGGTTTAGGGTTTAGGGTTTAGGGTTTTTAAAACCAAGCCTGAACTCTCACCCCTAAACCATCGGTTTAGGGCTTGGGGTGTCAGGCCGAAGCTCACCCTTAGGGTTTCGAGTTTGAGGCCGAAGCTCTTGGGTAACCCCTAAAACCTCTGGAATTCCTGAACGCCTAGAGCCCTATGAGCCCCAAAGCCTGAAACCTTATAACCCCCAAACCCTAGAAATCCTACACCCTGGAAACCCTCATTCCTAAAGTCCTAACACCCTAAACTTACCCTAAAGTCTTTAAAGCCCTAGACCCTAAAGCCCTAGAACCCTAAAACCCTAAACCCTCAGACCCCAAACCCTAAAGCCCCTAAACCCAAAACCCTAAACCCCAAGCCCAAAGCCCTAAACCCTAAACCCCGTGTAAGCCCTCCAAAACCCCGATTAGCCCCAAGAGCTCCCACACTGGCCCGAAGCATCGTTCTTGCCAGGGCCATCCATGCAGAGCGTCGTCCAATCTGCGATGAAAGCCCCAGACCCAATACCGATCGGAACGCCAGCCGCGCGCTCGGCTGAGGGTTCGGGGTTTAGGGTTCGGGGTTTAGGGTTTCGGGTTTAGGGTTTAGGGTTTAGGGTTCAGGGTTTCGGGTTTAGGGGAGTTTAGGGTTTATTGCTGAGGGCCACCAAAACCCCTATGCCTTAAACATGCAAGGCCTCCACAATAGCCCCAAGAATAACCACAGTGTAGTGAAGTGGCCATATCATCCTTTGAAAGGATTATAGGGCCACCTGTTTCTCGAACTCCCTGTTACGGCCTGCTTTGAAGCCTACACCCTGAACCCTCACCCTTGAAGGGGCTTTGTTTGGGGGTTTAGGGTCTAGGGTCTAGGGTCTAGGGTCTAGGGTTTAGGGTTTAGGGTTTAGGGTTTAGGGTTTCGGGTTTAGGGTTTAGGGATGCCACTAGAGAGAGCTGCCCACGTGAGACTGTGCAGACGGCGTGGCTAAGGCGCCGGAGCAGCCGCCCAGGCTTGGCAGACTTGTAGCAGGGTTTAGGGTTTAGGGTTTAGGGTTTAGGGCTTAGGGTTTAGGGTTTAGGGTTTAGGGCGCAGGCAACGAGAGCGGCTGAGGGGCTTGCGGCCCCAAACCCCGAACTAGCCCTATACACCCTACTTGGAGGTTCATGGGTACTTGCAAGTAGGGTTACAAGTCGAGTCATTGTATAGTTCGGGTACCTGTAACAAGTATCTAAGGTTGGAACCATGGGCCCTTATTATGGTCCATTACCCTTGTTTATAGGGATCTGAAGTATGGGCCCTGATTAGAGATAGTGTACATAAGGGTGAAAAAAAAGGGCCCCAAATTAAGGGCCCATACTTCGGATCCCCTAAAGCAGGGTTTAGGGTTTAGGGTTTAGGGTTGGGATCTCCGGTTCGATTTGTCTTGGAGCTTCTGAGCATCGCTTGGCTTTGGGAGCGACGTCTTCGGGCCAAGACCACATCATCCCGAAGCCCATGTCCCTCCCCTAAACCCTAAACCCTAAACCCTAAACCCTAAACCCTAAACCCTGGACCCTATGCCCGAAGCCTTCACCCTTACACTCCTCAACCCTGAAGCCCCCAGCCCGCGGAATTCTTACAGGCCTCTGCCAGCCGATCTTCCATCGGCTCAGTTCTCAGCCATGTAAGTGCGGTCCATGTCGTGTGCGGTACCAGAATGAGAGTTCGGGCTTGGGGATCGAACTCGGGTTTGGGGTTCGAATCTCCCTGTAGGGGGATTCATCATCGGAGCCCAAACAAAGGACCCTTATGCAGGGGAACGTCCGCATAACCCCTTGAGGGATCCTATAGGGGTCGAATTCCCAAACTCCCCCTAAGAACGTAAAGCCGTAAGACCTTCAAGCGGTAAAGCAGGCGCTGGCCTGTTACATGCTCGGGAGATGGGCCAGAGGCTTGTGGAGTTTAGGGTTTTGTTTAGGGGTTCGAGGCCCTGATGATATGAGTTGGGATCGCCCGGCATTTCCTAACATATCTCTAAATGCAATCATCCTCATTATCGGAACACCAAAAAGAGGCACCCCTGATATAAAAACTATATACATATGTATATATATATATATGTATGTATAGACCCCGGCCCTCTCCCATTATACACGCGTCCATTTGCGCATGTTGCGCGTGAAAAGATGTCTTGCGGAATTCAGGTCGGCAGTGCCCAGCATCATGAAGGGCTTTGCAAGAGGTGCTGCTTCTTCCCAAAAGGCGCCCAGGGGAGCTCAGAGTTGGGTGGTAGGCTTCCTTGGTGGTGAGGGAGCAGAGGTACTACTTTAGGGGGTTCTATGTTGGGATCATGTAGCAATTCACCCTTTCACTCCTCCTTACCAACAGTGGATAGGCTTGAGTACTGTTGGGGGGGCTTCCTGTGGAGTCCACATGAAACAAAATTGGGACCTGCAAGGGCATTTTCTAGGACTTTGTGTGTTGCTTGGGGTTTCAGCTGAAGGTTATGAGTTTGGGTATTTTGACTCGTGTACTGACCTTGAACCTATTTGCTTTTGCAATTTACCATCCCTTAGACATCAAAAACTGAGAATCGCCAACCCCTTCCCAAGTGTCATCTGAAACAGATCGCAGGTGGTGTAAGGATGCATGTAGGTGTTCTTGTGAGTAGTTAAAAACACCGATGGCTGTCAATTACCGAACAATGCCAGGGTTGCAGTTTAAGAGCAGGCTCTTTGACATTGCACTGAGATCTCCTGCAAGCGAGCTCAGCATGGCTGTACTTTCAGGGCAGATGTCCAGCATTTGGGTTATTCGGCTATCCAGATGAACTTACACATTGTATGGGCTGCTTTGGAGAATGCTGGCTGTAGCTTGAAGTCTTCAGGGATTAGCCTTCTCAAGCCGAAGTTCATGGTCGATTCAGCTTTACGCAGCCTTGTGGTGCTGGTTCTCCACGCTGCGAAAGCGTGGGGTATTTGCCTATGGCTGCCTTCTGAAGTCTACAAGCCCGAAGACTTGATAGTTCGCCCCGAGATGCGCCAGCGCTACATCTCTCAAAGGCAGTCAGACTTCGGCCGCCCGTTGGAGAATCCGCAGGTCTTCAGCGACTTTGCCAGTGCGATGGAGCTGTGCATGCAGCTCCGAGAGCAAAGCTGCAATGCGATCGTTTGCAATGATCAGCAATGCGTGGCTCCTGCTGGCCTTGACAAGCTCGGCGTGCTCTATCAACCAAAGGGCTGCGCACGAAATGTCGACAACTTCTGCGACCGCCGATCATGGTACGAGACCACCAACCCCTGCAAGCTGGATCGCTCTGATCAGTGCTGTGACAACAGCTGTAATACCTGTGGGCCCCCTCAATACTGCTCGACGACATACAACCAAGGGCGACAAGCCAAAACCTGTGATCCTTTTTTGAAGTCCAAGGTCTGTTCACAACAATACATTCAAGATTGTACGGAAAGTCCGCACGGCAAGGCCCCAGCAGCGATTTTCCTTGCGCCTTCGGCACCACGGAAGATGGAGCCACTCTCGGTGGTGCGCCTTGGTTTCGGGTACAAGGTGAAGAGCTGTGCGAGAAATGGGCTGGCCCCGATCAAGGACCCGAGCATGTGTGCACTTGTAATTGGGTCCATGGCGCCTTCCCCAGCGCTGAAGCCACCTGAAGTGGCACTGTGCGAAGACCCGTCGGAGTGCGCTGACTTGCCATTTGGGTGCCTCTTGCGTGTCCAGCCCGGTGTCCTGGAAGGCCGGGGCGTGATGAATCCATATGGGCAGGAGCAATGGTGCGGGGTAGGCAGCGACTTTGAGAAACATGATTGCCTGTGCATCTCAGTTGCGAACACAAGCGTATCCGAGAGAGCCTCACCCCCAAGGTCAATCTCCAAGCTGGAGGAAGTAATCCAGGGACAGCAGAACATCAGCGCTCTTCTTGCTTCAGAGAGAGGTTTTTTACCCCGTTTCATCTCGAGGCTTGAGGAAGTAATCCAGGGACAGCAGAACATCAGTACTATGCTTGCTGCAGTTCTCTTTGAGACCAAGAGCACACTGAAGACTCAGCAGCCAAAGGAACAACGGGACGTTTCCGGGGAGCTGCAGGCAATGCGAACGGAGCTGAGGAAGAGGCTTGATGACTCGCAGAAGAGGAGCGAAAACATGCTTTGGTCACTTTGGTGGCGGCTGCTTGGCATAGGTTGCTTTTTGGCGTTCTTGCTCCTTGTGGTGCAGTGGCTCTTCGGGGGTGTCTTCTCCAAGGCTCTGGGACGAGGGAGACGGCCGCAGGAGCTGCATGACAGCAGAGACATCCAAGTACCACTCCACGCCCAGCCGCGGGAGGCGACTACCGCCTTCGAGATGATGGAAGCTCATGGAACATAATTGAAGCATGGCCAGCCGTGACTTGTCAAGCACCGCCGTATTTTCCGCGATCATGAGTCCCACATCTCAAAAGCCTACACTCGCGCATGCACACACACACACACACACAAACTCAACCTTTGACCCCAAACCCTGACTTACTAACTCGAATCCCCAAAACCTGAACCAACTCCTCCCCCTGCAGCCCTCCACCAGAGCCTCTACAAAACCTACGCAGCATTGTCAAACCTACAGTCTCTGTAAGCCCCAAACCCCCAGAAAGGGTTTAGGGTTTGGGGTTTAGGGTTCAGGGTTTAGGGTTTCGGGTTTAGGGGCTTACCTACGCGGCCAGGGCGCTGCAACAATGGCCGCGACTGCGAGCCTCTCCCCTTGAATGTTGCTGCTTTTTCGGGATCTCGGGGAGTTTTGAGGGCTTAGTTTAGGGTTTAGGGTTTTTGGTTTAGGGTTTAGGGTTTAGGGTTTAGGGCATATTTTGGGATTTATGTTTGAGGGTCTCACTAGGGTGTTGAACTTAGGGTTCGGGGTCTTCGGTTTAGGGTCTCGGGGTTGAGGGGCTTCGGAATTAGGCTTGTAGGAGTTTCGAGTGTGAGTCTACTTGGTGTTTAGGGTTAGAGGTGTAGGGTTTAGGGTTTTAGAGGTTCAGGGTTTCGGTTTTGACCTTCCGAGCTTGTTTGGGGTTTAGGTTCTTGAGGTTTCAGGCTGTGGATCACTTTCCTGGGGTCTTGGGAAACTGGCTTATTTTCCGTGCTAGAGAAAGGCTTATCATTCAATTAAAACCTTCAAATATCAAGTTCAACACAGTTGAAATTATCAACAACAGAGTGTTGGGGTTCAGGATTTGGGGTTTAGGCGGCAGGGGTTTGGGGCTGAGGGTTGAGGCACCTGGCCTCCATAAAGGCTGATTCGACAGGCCAGGGGGGAGTCGCATGCTTGTGGAAAGTGCTCTTCAGAAATTCTACGTACCTTTAAAATCCCTAAACCCTAGGCCCTAAGCCCGAAACACAGTCTACAACTTGAAGTTCTGCAGCTTGCAGGACCCAAAGCCTGCACCGAGCGAGATTTGCTGTAGGGCTTAGGGTTTAGGGAATAGTAGGGTTTCAGGTTCAAGGAATAGGGTGTAAAGTATAGGGTTTCGGGGCTATGCTGAATAGGGCTTAGGGTGTAGGGCTTAGGGTTTAGGGAGTGAAAATTGCATTTGCCTCTGCCCGAATTGCATCCTACAATGCGCATTGGGGATGGGCGCATGCGCTGAAGCCCAACTGCTGGTTAGAAGGGATGGGAATGGGACATTGTGAGATTGCAAGTCCTGCCTACTGACCAAAACCCTAAACCTTAAACCCGAAACCCTAAACAGATTTTGTAGTGGAAGGTTTGGGGTCCCGCATGATGTTTTGGTGTCTCAGGTTCTGCCATTACGAGCACGAGAAGAGGAAGCGCAAGAAAAAGAAGAAGGGCGCGATGTCCAAGAACAAGGAGGACGTCCCCCTGGTTCCGTGTAGGGAATGAGGGAATTCGGGCCCTAAATATACGCTTTAAGGAATTCTAGAGGGTACCTCATACCCTCACTCCCTACGAAGAACCAGCCAGATGTGCTACCAGGGCATTCAGTTCTTGCCGACCTCATGTAAAGGGAACCTTAAACGGGAACCACAAACTGCCCATGTGTCTAAGGGAAGTTTCATGGGCCCTTAGTATGGCCCCTTATACCCTCTTTAAAGGGTTCTGAAGTATGTGGGCCCCTGGGTTAGGGTATATCAGGGGTATAGTCCCCGTTTTAGGGACCATGAGTACCCTGAGAATGTGTACGCTCCGAGAAGTCGCTGATCAGCATCCAGTCAGGAGTCTGACAGCGACGAAGAAGAATCTGACAGCGACGTGAAGGCAGCTCGTGGTCCCTAAACCCTAAACCCTGAACCCTAAACCCGAAACCGTGAACCCTGAAACCTGAACCCCAAACCCCAACCCTAAACCCTAAACCCTTGTGATCTCCGGCCGAGTAGGTTTCGATCTGAGGTTCCTGTTCCATGAGTAAGATGGAGTAAGGCAGTTGGTGAGTTCAGACCTTAAGACGCTCCAAGCAGAGGAGCTCCCGTGGCAGTTTTTCTGACAGCAGCTGCTCCACAGCACCAGATCCCGAGCCATGTGGCCATCGCTTTTGCGGTAGTGGGGGCGGGAGGGGAGGGCGGTTGGTGGGCTTAGAACCCTAAAACCCTAAAACCCCAAACCCTAAACCCTAAAAACCCTAAAACCCTTAATCCTTAACCGTAACCCTCAACCCTTAAACCTCAAACCCTAACCCTAAGTATGCTTGCACCCCCCTGCCAGGGAGATGGCAGATCACTGGAGCCGCAAGATGGAGCAGACCTCATGGGAAGGCCTCGGCTCGATGTGTGTTTTTTGAGGGGTTGGGTGGGGTTGGGGAGGATGCGCGTCATACAGGGCACGCCTGTGACAACCCTGCATGTTGGGATGTTCCCCCTGATACAAAGAGAGTCCTTCTTGGGGATTATAGTTATAGTAGTACTATGATAATCCCAGTTAAGGACCCTTAGTATAAGGGGGAACATCCCAACCTGAATATCCCTAGGCCTGGCCCAACCTGGGAGCAGGGACATGGAATCTGCGGTCCCCGTGTCGGTTTGCAGGGCTTTCAGCGAAGTTTCGGGCTTCATGAAACTACGGAGAGGCCCTAAACCCTAAACCCTAAGCCCCACATCCCATAACCCCTATGACCGATGCCCTTTACCCCTAAACCCTAAACCCTAAACCCTAAACCCTAAACCCTAAACCCTAAACCCTAAACCCTAAACCCTAAACCCTAAACCCTAAACCCTAAACCCTAAACCCTAAACCCTAAACCCTAAACCCTAAACCCGAAACAACCCTAAACCCCTGGCAGGCCTCGAACTGCGGGGATCATTGGGCAAAGTCAACGGCCCAGCCATGAGGTGGGTGCCGGACGGCTAGGGTGTGCTGCGCTTTAAGGGTTTTGAGGTTTTTGGGTTTAGGGTTTAGGGGGTTTTAGGGTTTAGGGTTTAGGGTTTAGGGTTTGGGGTTTGGGGTTTGGGGTTTGGGGGTTTTAGGTTTTAGGGTTTGAAGGTTTCGGAAGGGAGGGGAAGGGTTTATTGTCTATCGTTTTCGGGCGGCCTGGGTTTTCCAAAGGAGGGCCTGGCAGATGCTTTTGGGGTTCTACAGAAAGGTCCCATTTCTGGGGGGAGCTTGTTTATAGGTTTAGGGCTTAGCTCAGTTCTTACCGGAACTCTATCATTGATAGAATTCTGGTATCTTGGAGTCTTGGAGTTTTTGGGGGGTTTGATTGCTGGCAGGCCAAATCGGGTATAGTTGTATGCCCCTGGCTGTTGGGGAAGTAGAAGTTACCTGTAAGGGGACCATTTCAGAATAACCCCGCACCCCCCGCTGCCTCCCCTAAAGATGCGGCCCTTGGCAAGCTAACTTTAGTATGTCACTTTGCTTCAAACATGATTGCAAGAAGAATTGCCAAATCAACCTCAAGCCTTAAACCCCAAACCCTAAACCCTAAACCCTAAACCCTAAACCCTAAACCCTAAACCCTAAACCCTAAACCCTAAACCCTAAACCCTAAACCCTAAACCTCTAAGCATTTCCAAAACCTAAACCAGCCCAAGTTTTTGGTTGATGCCCGAAGCTTGTGAAGCGGCTGCCCAACCCCAAGCCTTAAACGGCCAGGTGTGGGGAATGCCACCACAGGCACCGTGCATCACAGGAGGGTGTGGTCTGTTTGCGACCCAATTCTCGAGTGATCAAGCTGTTTTTTACCAACTACCCGGTGTCCTAACTCTGAAACCCTAAAACCCAAAACGAACCCGAAACCCTAGACAAAACAGCTAGAACCCTCGACGTGGCAGGTTCCTTTGGGGCCTCCGCCGAATCCGCCTATGACCGTGGCCCCGCGTGGGCGGCGTACTCAGGGTGGAGTTCACAGATTTAGGGTTTTAGTTTAGGGTTTATGGTTTAGGTGTAGGGTTCTGCGTTCCGTGGTGAAACGTCAAAATGTGGAGGTTTGGGCTTGCAGGGTGTTTGTGCTGTGCCTCGGGCTTAAGCTGCGGTTTGTTCTCAAGACGACAACGCTCACGACGAAGCAATCCTTCCATCCCCCGCATCCGCCCGAGCCGTTTCTCTCGCACAAGCAGGCTTGTGCAAGAGGTCTTTCCGCCCAAAATCCTAAACCCCAAACCCTACACTCTAAACCCTGAACACCCGACGCCCAGCACCTGCAAAAGACCAAGGCTGCCGGAAGATCCCTTGTACCCCATGACGGATCAGTCAATGCCGCCTGTGGTGCCCTCAAGACGGAAGGATGAGGGTCTGAGGTGGGACTTTGGGTTTACGGTTTGGGAGATCTAGTTTAGGTTTCATTCAAGGCTGCAAGTTGAAGGAAAGCGCCAGCAACGGGGTGACAGGCATCCGTGAGAAGGGTTTCTTGCGGCAGCAGAAAAGCGTGTTAGGAGAATGTTAGGGGCTTCGGTCTATTCAGGTTCCGAGTTTTGGGGGCCTCTGATGTTGTCGGTTGAGGTTCTGAGCCGAGAGCCCTGCTGTATCTGCCTGCCTTGGGTTCGGCACCTTATCCGTTGCCCTCGCCCGATGAACCCTAGATCATATTGGTAGCATAGCGCAGGGAAGGAGGGTTCGGCACTGCGGCACAGCGTCTTTAGTGTCTGGAATTGCGCTTCCCCTATATAATTCCCCTATGCTACCTACAGCTTTACTTGACCGTCACATCCGTGTCTTACTGGTTCTTAGTAGGGAATGGATGAGGTACCTTATATCCCCTTCTATATACACCCTTTGAGGGATGAATTATAGGGTACCTCATTCCCTCTTTCCCTACTAAGAACAGTGAGCCATCCCGGAAAGTCTGAGGCGAACATGAGCGCTGCGCAGTTGGACGCCTACTATGCAGGAATGAGCCCCGGGCTCAGAAGCTTGAGGTGGCACCAGCCGAAAGGCTTGGGTTTAGGGTTTAGGGTTTAGGGTTGAGGGTTGAGGGTTGAGGGTTTAGGGTTTAGGGTTTAGGGTTTAGGGTTTCAGCCCTAAGCCCTCAACCTCAAAAATTCCCCCCAAACTAACCTCCGACCCCCCAAATCCCGAATGCAAACCCCCGAACCGGTCCTGCCAAACCTAAACCCTAAACCCTAAACCCTAAACCCTAAACCCTAAACCCTAAACCCTAAACCCTAAACCCTAAACCCTAAACCCTAAACCCTAAACCCTAAACCCTAAACCCTAAACCCTAAACCCAAAACCCTAAACCTAAAACCCTAAACCCTAAACCCTAAACCCTAAACCCTAAACCCTAAACCCTAAACCCTAAACCCTAAACCCTAAACCCTAAACCCTAAACCCTAAACCCTAAACCCTAAACCCTAAACCCTAAACCCTACACCCCAAACCGGTCTTGCAAGGTTACGGCGCTGGCGCCGCCGCTGCGGCCGCGGCGGCTGCGGCAGCTGCCTCGCGCGACACCCGACGGGCTTGCGTTCATGGGTTTAGGGTTTGAGGTTTAGGGTTTGAGGTTTAGGGTTTAGGGTTTAGTTTGAGGTTTAGGGTTTAGGGTTTGGGGCTTGGGGTTTAGGGTGGCACCTTTACAGTTGCCCTGCTTTGTGTGGGGACTGTCATGTATCAACTCCTAAACCTTGAACCCACGAGACTCTCAGGAAAGCTGCTCCGGGAGCCTGTAGGCCAGAGGGTTCGGAGGTCGTTCTACACAAAGGATCCATTTCCCGGCAACTTCTACTCAGTCACATGAAGACCGACCTTTCACCCTAAGCCTTAAACCTGAGGCTCTAATTGCGACCCTAAACCCTAAACCCTAAACACCCTAAACCCTAAACCCTAGACTTGATCTTGGTTTTTTGAGGCCGTACGATCCTGCCGCGGCCGTGGCTGCTGCGGCCGCCGCCGCTGTTGCCGGAGTCGATCCGCTGCTAGTCTGTAAGAAAGGCGGTGTAGGGGCTCCTACAAATTAATTAGGGTTTAGGGTTTAGGGTTTGGGGTTTGGGGTTTGGGGTTTAGGGTTATGGGTTATGGGTTATAGGGTTTGGGGTTTAACCTGTCTTGGATTCTACAACTCTATAAGCCGTCGAGTATCTTGAGTTGCAGAATAGGTACCCCCTGTCTCGAAATATCGGTAGAGTTCGTACCAGAAACTTGACGTGCGGGGGCTTTTCTGATGAGACCTGAAACCCAGAAGACGACCAGGAGATGCTGAATTACGGAGTACCCTAAACCCTAAACCCTAAACCCTAAACCCTAAACCCTAAACCCTAAACCCTAAACCCTAAACCCTAAACCCTAAACCCTAAACCCTAAGCCCTAAGCCCTAAACCCTAAGCCCTAAACCCTCTAACCTCTAAGCTCTAAGCCCTACTGCCAAGTGCGGCCCCCCCATTCCCCAAATAGCACACCCAGGGTTTAGGGTTTAGGGTTTAGGGTTTAGGGTTTAGGGTTTAAGGTTTAGGGTTTAGGGTTTAGGGAGTCTGGGGAGTTTGGGGACGTGGAAGTCAGGGGAGTTCAGGGATCCTGGCCCTGCTGAGGTCTAGGGTTTAGGGGTTTAGGGGTTTAGGGGTTTAGGGGTTTAGGGGTTTAGGGTTTAGGGGTTTAGGGTTTAGGGTTTAGGGTTTAGGGTTTAGGGTTTAGGGTTTAGGGTTTAGGGTTTCGGGTTTAGGGTTTAGGGTTTAGGGTTTAGGGTTTAGGTTTTAGGGTTTAGGGTTTAGGGTTTAGGGTTTAGGGTTTAGGGTTTAGGGTTTAGGGTTTAGGGGGACTCCTCAGCACTTCCTTAGCCGCGTGAAGCTAGAGCTGCCCAGGTACGGGTACCACCAGCCGCCACCAGACCCAAGGCACATCGGGTTTGTGAAAGCAAGCTTGTAGGAGTTGGGGGGGGGGGGGGGGGGGGGGGGGGGGGGGGGGGGGGGAGGGGGCGGGGGGGGGAGGGGCGGGGGGGGGGGGAGGGGCGGGGGGGGGGGAGGGGGCGGGGGGGGGGGAGGGGGCGGGGGGGGAGGGGGGGGAGGGGGGGGGGGGGAGGGGGGGGGGGGAGGGGGGGTTGGGGGCACAGCAGTTTGAGGTGATATAGTTTAGGGTGGCGTACGTACCGCCTAGGATGCCTCATGAAGATGTAGGGTTTGGAAAATAGTTTTGGCTGTCCGCAGAAGTCGAGAAGCCCAAGAAGCCAACACCCACGCCCTTAGACCGATCTTGAATCCTTTTAGTGTTTGGGGTTTAGGGTTTAGGGTGGCCATCACTGTGAGCCCTAAACCCTAAACCCCCTAAACCCAGTATACCCACAAACATCATCGCAAGGCCCCAAGATCCCAAGCCATAGAACCCCTTCATGCTTGCCCCAAACCCTAAACCCTAAACCCTAAACCCTAAACCCTAAACCCTAAACCCTAAACCCTAAACCCTAAACCCTAAACCCTAAACCCTAAACCCTAAACCCTAAACCCTAAACCCTAAACCCTAAACCCTAAACCCTAAACCTAACCCTAAACCCTAAACCCTAAACCCTAAACCCTAAACCCTAAACCCTAAACCCTAAACCCAAAACCCTAAACCCTAAACCCTAACCCCTAAACCTAAACCCTAAACCCTAAACCCTAAACCCTAAACCCTAAACCCTAAACCCTAAACCCTAAACCCTAAACCCTAAACCCTAAACCCTAAACCCTAAACCTTGCCGTCCCTGAGGCCGCCGTGGGCCCACGGGCACCTACCCCCCCTACCGACGCCAGGCCGTGCTGTAAGGTCTCTGCTTGCAACTGGTCTATTGGGGTTTGGGTTTCCGGTTTAAACCCTAAACCCCAAACCCCAAACCCCACAACCTAAACCCTAAACCCTAAACCCTAAACCCTAAACCCTAAACCCTAAACCCTAAACCCTAAACCCTTTAGGGTTCAGGGTTGCTTCAGGTTCACGTTCCCGTTTCGGCATAGGGCTGAGGAGCTTTGCTGTCTTGCATGCGAGAGACGTTAGCCAGCTCGAGCACATGACGGCCGAAACATCACTGCAAGCGTCATGCGCTCTTGCCTCCAGTGTTAACTCTGCAGGCTACCCTGGCGCCATCCCCGGCATGTTTTCTTTGCTGGGGAAGCCGAAGTCCTAGAGACAGCGCCTGAGCTTGCAGGTATCGCTCAGGTCGCTAACCGTGCCACCAAATCTGCAAGAAACCTGACTCGCAGCAGTTTAGCCAATGCATACTCGTTCGGCGAGGGCGAACGGCCTACGTGAATGAAGCAGCGTTAGTTAAGCTCAGCTGGCTACGCTAGACCTCCGAACAATCTTGATGCTGCAAAGCCTGGACTGTGCTGCCACCTCAAAGCCCGCCACGGTGAGTTTCCAAGACCTCCAGCCCAATATGGCGTCAGGCCACACTTAGCTCCAAGTACACCTTAGACCATAAACCATACTGCCATACTGTGTTGCAGGAAAGGCATTCCCCAGGTAAAGCCGACTCTGTCTCGGTACACCATACTGGTACACCATGGTTGCTGATCCTGGTTTAGGGTATAATTTAGGGACTCGGCAGTCTCAAAGCCTACACCCGAACTCCTCCTGCCCCCTTGCCAGGCACCCCCTCCGGTGGCCCCTCCCCCACCGACCTACGCCCATGCGGCGCCGAGGATGGCTGGTAAGGGTTTAGGGTTTAGGGCTTAGGGGTTTCATCAGTCTGTGTGAAGATGCACCCAGTTTTATGAGTGGTGTCGTCAGCACTTCCAAGACACAGCTCTTGCGGTCCCCGCATGCAGGAAGGTAGCCAACAGCCCCCCGCAAGCCGTCGCATGAGCCTTTGCAGGTACGCCAAACCTTTCCATAACTCACCCCTGGCCAAAATACTCTAAGCCCCAAACCTTATAAACCCTAAACCCTGAAGGGTTGTTTAAAAAAAAAGGAACCCTCCTACCAAACCTTTGGGCTTCTAGCCCTTGAGTTTGACGAGGATGCCGCCTCCGCGCTAGCACTGAGAAGGTTTTTTTCCCGTCGATGAGGAGGGCACAGCTCAAAGGGTTTAGGGTTTAGGGTTTAGGGTTTAGGGTTTAGGGTTTAGGGTTTAGGGTTTAGGGTTTAGGGTTTGAGGTTCTTTTGCAGGCGAAGGTAGGCTTCACGGCCGCCTATGAAAGCCATCGGGTCGGAACGAAGGCTTCTTGGCTTGAGGTTGCGGCTGTGTGTGATCCTCTAGGAATCGTCTGATTGCGAGCACAGAAACGGGAGGAAACACCTCTTGTCTTGCCGCGGGCTATACATACTGGCCTGCGCGCCCGCAACAGAAAGTAGGTTGTGAGCATGCGCGACTGGCACTCGACGAAGCTACTGTTTTGTGACACGGTTGCAGACCCAGATACAGATACAGGATTGCGAAGCAGACTTGTGCTCTGTTATAGTGTAGCATGTAAAATTTTTTATGGTGCTTCAACTCAACTTTTAATGTTTAGTATTATCCCAACCATGAGCTAGGTAGGATCTAGGAGATGGAGCTGCAATTGTCGCAACAGTTTCATATGGCCAATGGCTTCATGTTTGGGTCAAGTGTGTTGAGCTTTGTCGCGCAAGTCTTGGATTGATTAGACGCAGTCGATGACCGCAGCCGGTGCGACGGGCGTGCCGGGAATTTCGAGGAAACTCAAAAACGGGTTTGCGAATCCCGTGCCCTCCGTTCGCATTGCCCGGTGGCTGGTGCCGCGCCAGCAGTGAAACACCCTCTCGCACAGCCAAGGAGGTCAAACCCCAAACTCCAAATCCCAAACCCCAAATCCCGAACCCCAAACCCTAAACCCCAAACCCTAAACCCCAAACCCTAAACCCCAAACCCTCAACCCCAAACCCTAAACCCTAAACCCGAAACCCTAATGCATCCAGCTCCCAACCCTCGCGCCGAAGACTCGATCAACCCTAAGCCTGGAGTTGGACCGCCTGCACCTCGGTGATCCCCCGGCCCACCTGAAGCAGAGTCTTCCGGGTTTAGGGTTTGGGATTTAGGGTTTGGGGATTGGGGTTTAGGGTTTGGGGTTTAGGGTTTAGGGTTTGGGGGACTTAGTTCCCTAAACCCGAAACCCTAAACCCTGAACCCTAAACCCAACCCTAAACCCTCAACCCTCAACCCCAAACCCTAAAGGCTAAACCCTAAACCCTAAACCCTAAACTTTTAGGTTCACATGGTTCCCCTCCGAAGAAGCTGGTGCGCGCCCTGCCAGGGTCTTGAGAAGCTTGGAGTGAGCTGGAGATTGAAGAGATGGCGCAGACCAGCACCCAGCACTTAAGGGGGACTAGGGTTTAGGGTTTAGGGTGCAGTGTTTAGGGTTTAGGGTTTAGGGTTTAGGGTTTAGAGTTTAGGGTTTAGGGTTTAGGGCCTAGGGAGTAGAGCAGGCCCTATAGGGCTTTGAACCCCCCTCGCTATAGAAACCCTGTGTAAGACGTATCCCTTGATGAGTGGACAGGGAGCTGAGCTTCTGTTTTAAGGGTTTGGGGCGTAGGGTTTAGGGTTTAGGGTTTAGGGTTTAGGGTTTAGGGTTTAGGGTTTAGGGTTTAGGGTTTAGGGTCGAGGGGTTTAGGTTCTAGAGTTTATAAGAGTTATGGTTTCGGTGGAAATGGCTTGAGAAGGTTTGGAGCAGATCTCTGCCCCCCCAAGATGGCTGACAGAGTCATGTGTATCAAGTGGTCTGGTCCGTCCTCAGGCTCCGGTGAAAAATTCGAAGCTCTGCCAAAATACAGCAGGGTCTTCGAGCTCCGCGCTGAAACCCAGAAGACGGGCAAGTATGGAGATGAGCAGCACGTGCCCAGCTCCACAGATACGCTTTGATTTCCAGACCCTGATTTATGAGAGGAGGGCGTGAGCACAAAAGGACGTTCACAGTGCGCCTGCCTCTGACATGTGGCGTTTGGGAGGGGGGGTGCGAGTAAATGCGCCTTGAAACTCCGGACCCGCGCATCTCGGCTGGTAGACGGAGAGGCCCATCCATCCACAAAGCCACCAACGAAACCCCCACACGCCACATCCCCCGAAACCTGCTGCATGGTCACGCAACAGGACTTCACCGAAGCCAAGCACGACCCAAAAAAACCTCAACACCCCGACACTCCGCCCCCCAAAGGGCCCCTTAAGCTTCTCTGCATTTGTACATAGCGCCTCTGCCAGCCCGGGGCCTGGGCCCTCAAAGTTGCAAGCTCCCCAATCCGCTGAGCTCCACAGTTCCAAGAGCGTAAACAAGATCCCCCCCCAACCAAAGCCCCTTGAGTTTCGATTCCGCTGCTGAGAAACCAGGACTGGAGGATCTCGGGTAAGCCCTAACCCCGAAAAGACTTCAACTCCTCTAACCCTTTCATGCCCCAGCACCCTTACACCCTCAACCCCTGCACCCAAAACACTAAACCCCTGAACCCCGAACCCCTAACCCCCCGACCTCGATGCCGGAACTCCTGTTTGTCCCAAAACTGGTTGGTTCTTAGCAGGGAATGAGGGAATGAGGCACTCTATATAATCTTATGTATAGGACCTTAATTCCCTCATTCCCTACTAAGAACCGGGGAACAAAACTGAATGCCCTTTCAGAGCAGAGGCCGCATGTCGGCAGGGCAAGCCCGACTACGAGAAATTCAGAAGGCGCCATTGCGGGCTGGGGGGGTGTTAACCATTCTAGGGGTTTAGTATAAAGGTTTAATATAGGGGTTTATTATGGGGGTTTAGTATAGGCGGGGTTTAGGGTTTTTCGGGTTGGGCATTTGGGATGCTAAAAATATGCGAGAATCCGAAAATTTCCGGAACCCAATTACGTCCCGAACTCGCCCCGATCACATTATGCGCTATCCGACTTTAACAGTGGTCTGTAGGGATTCCGGGGTTTAGGCCCCCCACCCTCCAAGGTTTCAGGTGCCCTAAAGTATTATCTTAGACAATCTACAACCCTCCCCAAAGAAACCCCAAATCATTCCGAAGCCCCTTTCTGGGTCATGCTGCGACTACGAGCCCTGCAACAAATCACTGACCGCCCTAAACGCAAAACCCAAACCCTAAACCCCTAAACCCCTCAACCCTCAACCCTAAACCCTAAACCCTAAACCCCTTAACCCCTAAACCCCTGTAAGCCCCCAAACACTATCGAAAAGGTGTACAGCGAATGGTGCGTCCAAGCTGCGGAGATCATCCTCGCCGCCCGGGTGGAGCACCCGAGCCTGGCTCCCGGAGCGGAGACGCTGAGAGGTTTAGGGTTCGTGAGTCAGGTGACCCTAAACCCTACACCCTCAACCCTAAACTCTAAACCCTAAACCCTAAACCCTAAACCCTAAACTCTAAACTCTAAACCCTAAACCCTAAAACCTTAAACCCTAAACCTTAAACCCTAAACCCTAAACCCTAAACCCTAAACCCTAAACCCTAAACCCTAAACCCTTTCAGAGGTTCACGCGGGGTTAGGGACTTTGCGGTGCAGGGTTGAAGGTTCTTGGGGATGTTTTGGGGCCTTGAGCGGTTCGGGTGCCTGCCTTCCAGGGCTTTTGCCGGCTCGAGGCTGCTTAAGATGCCGAATTCTGAGGTGAAGGGCTGAGGGGTACTCAGGATTTAGGGGTTGTAGGGTTCATGGTTCAGAAGTGTGCTGAGGGTTCTGAAGCTTTGCAGAGGTGTAAGGTTTTGGGGGGTCCGAAGCAAAAGGCTGAGGCTGGGACTGTGAGGACTGTGGGGGCTTGGAGCGTTCCTTGTTCAACCTTGCATCTCCAAACGCTCGAAAAGCCCCTGGAGACCCCAAAATCAAGATCACCAAATCCCCAAACGTTAAACCCTAAACCCTCGTTCGTGAGTGCCGATGGGCCCTTGTGGTGAGGATCCGTCTTGGTTTCAGGGTGTACAGGGCATTGTAGGGTTTAGGGTCTACGGTTTTGGCGTTTGGGGTTTAGGCTGCGTGCGATGCATGCTGTGTAGGTTCCTGATTTGGGGAATCGTGTTCTCTCCGTCCAAACCCTAAGCCTGAACCCTAAGTCACAAATCTCGAAGCCCCTAAATCCCTAAATCCTAAATCCCTGAATCCTTAATCCCTAAACCCGAAACCCCAAATCCCGCAACCCTCAATCTGTAAATCCCTTACCCTAAACCCTGGATCCCTACACCCTCAATCCATAAATCCCTTCAATGCCCTATACATCCTACAATGCCGTCACCCCTGCTTTGGACGGCCAGGGCCGACGGGGGCCCCGCAGCCGACGTCGGGTAGTTTTAATTTGAAGGCCATGGTTTTGTTTTTTCTTAAGTGTTTCTTAGGGTGTCTAGGGTTTTCAGATTTTGTGTAGGGTTTCTAGAGGCTTTTAGGGGTTCTTGGGGGGTTTCTAGAGCCTTGGGGGTTCTTTTTAAGCAGGATTCAGGTGGTGGGGAGTTCGTTATGAACGATTTTCGGATTTTGGAGAGAATAGTGTTGGTGTGTTGCGTCGGGATCTGCGAGGCTTTGGTCTCAAGGGGTCTTGCGTTCTGAAGGATAGCCGCTACATATGGCGGAAAGCCATTTTCCCAACTACCCAATGTGGGGAAAACATGTTTCACATAAATGGTAGTTGTGCACAGGTTGTCGTTTTGCTCGGAGAGATGTAGCAGAACGGCACAGAACCAAGCGTGTGCGCAGTTGGCATGAGTGCCAAACCATCCAGTTCCCCCCAAGACTGCGTGCAACTGGAGTTCTTATACCTGGTGCTGTCCAACTCTGATGCAACCTTGACGGCTGATGGCTTCTGTTGACATGAAGCAGTTGCCAAGAGCCAGAAGACCTCAAATCCGAGAGTTCTCTCTCTCTCTCTCTCTCTCTCTCTTATGCCAAGCCGAGATTGGTAGAATACACTTTCTGGTGACTGGTGCTTGCGATGGGGGTATCTAATGGGTCTTCTGTTCAGGGGTTACGTTAAAGGATCCATGGATGCTGAGGAGTCCTTATGGTTAGATGGTTAGGGTACCTGAAATCCCAGCCTGAAAACGCAAAGCCCAAAT